GTTTTGTTTTTCACGATTGTTGGATAAGTCATTTGAACAATGTTTAAATAAAAAGTTTATAAAAAAAATATTTATATGCGTGGCATTTAAAAGAGCTGACTCGTTTTGAAATATTAAAAAGTTAACTTTTTATGACATGTTTATTGGAGACGCAGAATAATACAGATTTGAATGCACCGAAAGAGCTAAAGAAAAATGCACAAACTAATAACTCGACGATATAACAAATTAATTTTGGTTTATGCAAAAATGTGTGGTGATTAGTGACCGTTAATCAATAATTATTCAGAAATTGTGAGATGTGGTCTGGTGTGAAAGTTTCAGAAAAACATTTTCTTTATCGAGCCAACGTTTCGATCTTTTGAGATCATCTTCAGGGCCTGGGATTTACAAACAATGTTTACATTTAACAAATACATTTAGGATGTGGAAACGTGAATTTATACAATGCAAAATATATTTTTTATGTTCAATCAAAGTATTTCTACTCACTCAAAGTGTTTGTCTTCTGTGTAATTGTGCCATTCTTGCGTGTCGTGTTGAGAGTGCCAGTGAGATTTTGCTGTTTTATGTTTATATATGTTGAATTTTGAAGGGGTGGAGAAGTAGGTCGGTATAGAAAAGACATTTTTGTATAAGGCGTCGACTTCTTTGAGGTGAAAAGAGCCGACGAAGGGAAACAATGTGTTGGTAATGGTTCGGCCAGATTATTCTTTCAGGATTATATAGAAAGGGATAAAATAGGAAAAGGAAAGCTAAATTGTTGGAAAATTAGACTATGTGAAAAATATTTGATAGTGGAATGTAATGTAACGATATATGTATGTTCTCTATATTGAATTTGATTAATGACATTGGCGTAGCTGCGACTGAGTTTACATGTATCTGTTCTGTAATTGATGCTGTGTTTTTCTCTGTTGATATAAACCATTTCTAAGAAATTACGTTTATGTTTGTTTTGTGTGGTGTTCAAAATGGTGGGTAGCGAGTGCTGTAGGATTTTGCTTGGGTTTTTTGCAATCATTTTGTTAATGAAATGAAATTAATCATTTACATTATATGTGTTATCTGTGATGTTGTTGAGTAGATTGGTTAGGTATTTTGTCATGTTATATGTGGGTGAGTTTACAAATGAAATTATGGGTCTTAGAGGGTGTTCGGGTTTATGTGTTTTTACAGATCCATATAGTTTCGGAGGTTTTGGTGAGTTGTTTTGAAGTGATTTGTAGGTGTATGTGTCAATTTCTTTTCGTTTAAGTGTTTCTTGGAGAATTTTGTTTGTTTGTTTGATGAGAGAAGGAGTAGGGTCTGATTTGATTATGCTGTATGTGTTTGTGTCTGTGATAATTTTGTCAATTTTTTCTTTGTACTATTTTTTGCTGATTGCTACTGTTTGTTTGGTCTTATCAGCAGAAAAAAAAAATATTTTGCATTGTATAAATTCACTTTTCCACATCCTAAATGTATATGTTAAATGTAAACAATGTTTGTAAATCCCAGGCCCTGAAGATGATCTCAATAAAGATCGAAACGTTGGCACGATAAAGAAAATGTTTTTCTGAAACTATTACACCAGACCGCATCTCACGATTCCTGAATAATTTGTACAAAACGTGGACTAAACGTAAAAATGGCGTAATAAGCGTAATATTGTTTATTATTGTTCAAAATAAACATAAATAAAAGTTTAAGAGTTCTTATGTTACGCGTATGAAAAATACATATATTGGAAGATAAGATACATTTTTAAACGCATAGTGATGTGTTGTTTGAAAAATTACAAGCCAAACAAACGGGTTTTAATTCTAGAAAGTTGGCTAACGTTATAGAGTATTTATTGAGAAAAATATAGGCCAATTTATGCTGTTATCATTTACAAATATGAAAATAACAAAGCCTCCTAAAGTCTAAACGAATTCCTTATAGTTGAAGCTATTATTTTTTAATATTGTAAATTAATTTTTATAATTAGAACTAGCTCCCAAAAAGTTCAGATGAAGGAGATAAATTTCTTGACTGACAATTTTTCTTTCTTTTAAGATCGCCTAATTGCTGATATAATAACTATAGATGTAAATATCCATTAAGGAATAGTTATATTCATTGATGTTTAATAATGTTTGCCGGTCATAAGGAAGTTTAATTTGAAGGAATTTGCAGTATCGATGGTAAGTTGTTAAAGTCCTACTAAACCTAGATCGACATGTTATCTTGCTGTTATATTTAAATATTTGTGAAGTGTTCATTTACGAATACGAAAATAGCTAAAGTTAAAAATATTTGCAATCGTTCTATCGAATTTCTTGATTTTAGTACTGTTTGACGGTACTTAACGAAGTTTAAGTCAAAGGAGTAGAATCGATGGTAAATTGATAAAAGTACTTACTACTAGATTCGGTATTCGGTAAATATTTAAGTCTTTAAGATTTAAGAGATGATGACTTGGTAACAAATTTGTAATTGTTTAATCGAATTTCTTGATGTTTCATGTTTGATGATTCCTAAACAAAATTTGCCTTATTTCCAAAAAACGTTATTTTGTTGTTAAATATTTAAAAAAAACATATGAAATTCACTAGCAGTTGAACTAAACAATTTTTGTAATTTTTCTAAGGAATTCCTTGGCGTTTAGCAATGTTTTACGACTCCTGAGAACGTTCACCAAAGAATTTTGTAGAAAACTAAGATAAATTAACCAAATTGCCACTAGTGTTTAATCAAAATTTTATTTTGTGGGTAAATATAAAATAGTTATAAGGCTATTATTCATGAAATGAAATTCTAATACGTTTAAAAATTGTTCTTTAGAATTATTTGACTTTTAGTAATATTTGACGGTTACTAAGGAATTTAAGATATGGAAGTACTACTAGATCTAGATGAAAATGTTATCTATCTTTTTATGTTACAATATTTACGATCTTTTCATTTACGTATATGAAAATAACAACAGTTAAAGTAAAACTTAAGGTAGCATACTTTAAAGAATTACATATGAAATTAAAAACAATTAATAAAATTAACAATAGCCCTAAATAAAAGTTTTTCCTTCGAATCATCAAACATTATGAAACATCAAGAAATTCGATTAAATAATTACAAATTTTTTACTGAGTCATCTCTTAAATGTTAAAGACATAAAGAAAATCAAATAAAATACTTATGCGCTGTTCATTTACGAGATGAAATTCTAAAACGTACAAAAAAAAAATTAACCGTTGTTAAAATAAAAGCCTTTCGATGAGTTCATTCACGAGATGAAATTCTAAAACATATTAAGAAAATTAACCAAATTGACATTAGCCCTAAATAATAGCTTTTGGTTGTTAAAATAATATAATTAAGACGCGTTCATTCAACAGATGGAATTCTCAAACATTTGTAAATTTTTCATCGAATTCCTTGATGTTGAATATTGGTTGACATTTACTAAAGAAGTATACTTTACGGAATTACGTATAAAACTAAGAAAAATTAACCCAATTGCCCTAAGCCCTAAATAGTAGTTTTATGTTGTTAAAATAAAATACTTATGACCTGGTCATTCACGAGATGAAATTCTCAAACATTTACTAAGGAAGTATAATTTAAGGAATTAGTATAAAACTAAGAAAAAATAATTAAATTGACATTAGCCCTAGTAGTTTTTGATTGTTAAAATAAAATAATTACGACGCGTTCATTCAAGAGATGGAATTCAAAAACATTTGTAAATTTTTCATCGAATTCCTTGATGTTTAATATTGGTTGACAGTTACTAAAGATGGATACTTGAAGGAGTTACGTATAAAACTAAGAAAAATTAACCAAACTCCCATTAGCCCTAAATAATAATATTTTGTTGTTAAAATGACGTGTTCATTTATGAGATGATATTCTAAAACTAAATTGTTTTATAGAATTATTTGATGTTTAATATTGGTTGACAGGTTCCTGAGGAATATTACGTTGAAGGATAACGTAGAAAACTTAAATAAATAAATTAGATTGCTACTAGTCCTAAAAGGAAATGTTATTTTTGCATTAAATGTAAGTATTTATGATAGTGTCATTTAACGTATGAAAACAGCCAAAAGTTAAGTGTTTGTAATTTTTCTATCGAATTCTTTGAAGTTTAGAGATGTTTAATGGTTCCCACGGAAAATTCACCTTCGAGAATTATTTAGAAAAAATGTAACTTAATTAAATGTCTACTATTCCTGACAGAATACGTAATTTTGTGTTTAAATTGTAATATTTGCTTTAGTTTTAATGCAGTTTTACTTTATATTGCATTACTCGTCTTAATTGTTTTGTATAAGGGTGTGAAAAGTACGGCGCCTCGGTTATACTAAATATTGCACAACTCATTTGTCAATAAATTTACTCTAAACGGAAAAACGTAACGTGCCGTCAAAAGGATCCGATTCTAATTTAGTGGACGATTCAACAGCTGTAGGATATATTTATAATTTATTTTTGTAATAGGGCGCCCACGAATGTCTCGGAACGAGGAGCGGGATCTGTTTTCAAACAATGCAAGAAAAGGATTTCCTGCCAAGACGTCGTTATTAACGGAAATTCCGCCGCTCCAAATCATCCGGATCCGGCTGCACATTCCTCCAAAGGTTGAGAACGGCGGTACCACCCGTACGCTTTCCCTCGTGTACAGTTTGAAAATGTTTTAAAAGACTTACGGTCCGTAGAATAACGAAATGTAAGAATTGAGTTGGAAGTCACTTTGGAGAATTTTAGACCCTGGTGCATCGCCTTCGGCCACAATTAATTCCACCTCCGAACTAGTCTTGACCTCGAAAACACCTGTGGCTCCGGTTCCTTCGAATTTTCCCCCGTATAATCCTCGTTCACGAAACGATAATTTTCATTCGCTTCACTTGATTCCACTTCACCTCTCACTTTGATCACACTTTCAGGTAGATTTGCGGTGCATTTGTAATAAAACGCGCTTCCACTTGGTTCTTCTTTGAAGGGGTGACTTTTTTGGAGGGGCAATAGCTTACCTGCACGGACGGTAGCGACGAGTAGGAGGACTGGTACGGCAGGCAGGTTTTGCAGTATGCTGGCCATCTCCGCTCCTTTGGGTTCATTCCTGAAACAGGCGACGGTTTTTATGAGACGTCCTCTCCGGCATGTTCAGCGCCTAGAACTAGCAGGTAGACTGACTCCGCTCGTCCTCCCCCTCCAACGTCAAGTGAGTCAACAAAGGGTAGGGCTCGATCCCCTCCTTTGGGATTTTAGGGTGAATGCACTTCTATCCCCCTCCGGATACCCATCCCTTCCACCTTTTTATGGATAAATATTGTTACCTCGCAGCAATACATCTTTTAACATCCGTAACCGGGTCGTAAACAATGTCTTCAATGGCTTAAGAAGAGAGGACGTCTACGATTCGGTCTTCAAAGCCAAATGCGACCTCAAACCCGTCTTGGGCTTTGACCCAAATGAAAAGGTGCTTCCACCGGCCGCTCTCACAATTTCTCTCTCCAAACTGATAAATTTCTTTTATTCCTGCTGTTGGTTGTTCATACCCAGTTTATTGAAAACGATAAAGTTCAATTAAATTCAAACCACTGCCCCTTTTAATCGAATCCCAATTCACCTAACATCACGATGAGTGAAGATTGAAGCCCAGTCATTAAAAAACTGGACAGGTCTCGTGATGAACAAAAGAACAAGAAGAATTACAGAAAACACTAGAATGTATGAAAACATCAAGATTAAAAAACGTTTGTTCAATCTTGAGCAAAATATTTTTTCGCAACTAAAATTAAAGTTCATTATTTCAATCATTTTTAAACTTGTTGTCGTACCATAATATGTAATGCCAAATATATCAAACATGTCTGGATTTCAATTTTTCTGGAATATGGACAGTTATGCCGAAAGCATTAGCGCCTGAATACTTGCCGTGCTTCATTTTGCTAACTAAACATTTTTTAACGATGTATTATCAAAATAATTTAAAGAAATTACAAATATATAATCTAATATATCCCTTTCTCACTTTTGTATTCGAATTTGCAAGATAAAATTTATGAACACATCCTACGCTTCTTCGCAACCTTGAGGCTCACCAATCACAAGAGAGAATCTCAGTGAAAACTTATTACTTTTCTCTGGTTATATCGGATCTTTTCGCTTGTTTGAAGATCAGAATCTAGTAGGTGTAAGATGGGATGAAATTGTACACCTTATATTCCTCATCTTCGCTGATGATGTCGTACATCAATCTATCTAGCTCTCTATCTATTTATCTACCTATCTTTCTATCTATCTCTCGTTAATTGTCTGAGAGGTAGTTCGCGAGATTTTTTGAAATAAAACGATATTCCTTCATTTATTCTCACTTTCTCCATTCCACTCACAAACGTTTTCCATAGGCGATAACAATATCGTAATAACTTTGGCAATATAATTAGTTCCATTATATTTAGTGGTCTATTGGTCAAATTACTTCTTTCAATTAATTAATCATTTTATGTAAGGTTTTGGTTGAAATGAAAAAGTTAGCGTCACGAGCGGGATTCGAACCCACGACCTTCGCGGCTCAATAAGCTGATCTATCGTGACTAAATATAATCAGTGTACAACAAACCAGAAAATTATCAATTGACATAACAAGCCGCCGAAAATATAAAACGAAGTCCTGACTGTTCCAATGAGGCTATCGGACGAGTTAAAAAGATATCAGGATCAGCATGATTACTAGCGCCAAAAGTACAATATAGTGATTAACTATAAAGGAATTTATTGTAAACCTATAAAAGATTATCAACACAATCATGCGCTGTGACGTGGTTTGTTATTAATTAATAACTATATAGTTTGAACATATTACTAGGCCTCTCAAAATTTGTGGACAGATACTAGCAATTTGTTAAACAAGGTTTAACATTAAATTAAATATTAGAACGATCTTACGTTTTATTATAAAGATTATTTATATGCTTTCTTAAATTTTAAATAAACCTCTCTTATAATTAACGAATTAACGAGAAACAGCTTAGTGGTATGCGTGTGTGTGTGTGAGAAAGACAGAGAGAGAGGAGAGAGAGACAGACAGAAAAGAGAGCGTGAGAGGAGGGTGAAATAAGAAGAACGGGGGAGAGCCGTACAGAGAAAAAAAATGAGTGGTGAAGGTAAAGATATATAGATAAATAGATAGAAAAAAGAACAAAGAAAAAGAGAGAGTGAGTGTGAGTGAGAGGAGGGGGAGAAAGAGGAAGTGAAAGAGAAGGGAGATAAAGATATACATGCAGATAGATAAGTAGATAGACAGATACGAAGGTAAAAAGATGGAAAGGGAAAGAAAGTTGGAGGGAGGGGAGAGAGAGTGAGAGAGAGAGAGAGAGAGAAAGAGAGAGAGAGAGACAGACAGACAGACAAAGAGAAAGAGAGAGTGAGAGAAAGTGAGTGTTGTTTTTAAAATTAATATTATTTTGTGTCGAGTTGAAATTATTAATAAAAATAATGAATCGTTGATATATTTTGTTTTAGCTGTGATTTTTTCAACTATTAGCTTTTTATTCCCAGAGAATCATACATTTTTTCAGTTTTCTTAAGCAATTTATAAGCAATACCTAAGCATACAACTAGCAGCAAATCACTTATTGAACATAAAACCCAATTCAGATAAGGCAAGCAATCGAAAATTTTACATAAGAATCGTTGGCAAAAATACAAAAAATAAAGTTAAAATAAAATCATTCGCCACGAATTGCTAGCCGTATGCGCATGTATGATCTAATCTCTTTGCGTGCGAACAAGGATTCACGTCAGAGCGGTGGTGCTTACACGCAAAATATCATATTTCTGTTTAGCTTTCGTTAATCTACACCACAACACACCTGAGCGCACACGCCCACAAGTATTAAAACACGTATACTCATTCCGGTGTGTCTTGTTCGAAATCTATCAAGACGTGTTACGAAATGAAAGCCCCTCGTTGTTTTTCCTACATCGTGATTAGAATTTTTAAGATAGGAGAAGGCGATGAAAGAAGACTGTAACGAATTAAAAAGGAAATTGTACACAGCAAATTTGGAAATATTATTTGAAGGAACTGTGAATACACAAATGTCAACAAAAGGATCAAGTACCTAACGTATTTATTGAACTCATTAAAAAAAAAATATATATATATACACCCCCTTTTTGAATAGTTAATTAAAACAAGAAAAAAACCCTTTCCTTCTTCTAGTCTCACCTTCCACTATGGTAAGGCTAGGAGAAGACTTTAAAGTAAATTTAAACTTCCTTAATTCATTAATTATTGTGGTCCGCCAGTAAGGGCTCTCCCTTTGGTACGGCGGGGTGGTGGAGGGGTCTGTGACATAAAAGGCTGAGAAAACGTGCATTTCAAAAGTTACCCACTTTTGACTGAAAAACCAGGATGTATATATACATATATATATATATATATATATATATAAGACCCATCCACTACCCCGCCGTACCACAGGGAGACCCCATACCGGCGGACCACGAACATGAAATCTAGTCAATAATTAATGATTTTAAGAAGTTTAAATTTAATATAACGTCTTCCGCTAGCCTTACAATGGTGGAAGGTGAGACCAGGGGAAGGAAAGAGGTTTTTCTTTTTTTTGTTTTAATTAATTATTCAAAAAGGGGGTTCCCTTTGCTGTTTACTTCTTTACACTTTCGTTCAATGATATTTACATATGATAAATTTTACAAGCTAGTTCAATAGAAGTAAACAGTCCGAAATTTACCACCTATTTGAGTATACATTTATTGCTTGAAAATACACTACAAATGGACAACTTTGGAAATGCATATTTTCTCAGCTTTTTAAGTCACAGACCTGCGCTAGGTCTTATTTTGTAGCAAATTTTACGCTGAACAAGACGGCTTTTTTTTAGATGTTTTCATAGCTTCAGTCATTCATCAGTAAATTCACAAATTCGGGAACATGTTAATTTTTGCACTTTTTACAAAACAATTTTTTTCAAATTCAATATAGATAACATACATATATCATTACATTACATTCCACATATCAAATATTTTTCATAGTCTAATTGTCCAATAATTTAGCTTTCCTTTTCATATTTATCCCTTTCTATATAATCCTGAAAGGATAATCTGGCCGAACCATTACCAACACATTGTTTCCCTTCGACGGCTCTTTTCACCTCAAAGAAGTCGACGCCTTATTCAAAAATGTCTTTTCTATACCGACCTACTTCCCCACCCTTCAAAATCCAACATATATAAACATAAAACAGCAAAATCTCACTGGTATCCTCAACACGACACGCAAGACTGGCACTATTACACAGAAGACAAACATTTTGAGTGAGTAGAAATACTTTGATTGAATATTAAAAAAATATTTTGCATTGTATAAATTCACTTTTCCACATGTATTTGTTAAATGTAAACAATGTTTGTAAATCCCAGGCCTTGAAGATGATCTCAATAAAGATCGAAACGTTGGCACGATAAAGAAAACGTTTTTCTGAAACCTACATCACACCAGACCGCATCTCACGATTTCTGAATATTTATCAATTAACGGTCACTAATCACACACATTTTTACAAAACCTCAAATTGAGCTGTGGGGGCCAGGAAATCGTCCTGGAGCGGTGCCCTATAGCAATCGATAGAAAAATTTTATAAGCTTTCAATTGGTCACCTTCCACTTTGCCCGATTTCTCAACCGTTTTCGAGTTATTCGCGATTTTTGGGCATAAACGTAGTGTTTTACGTGCTCATAGAAAAAACCGATCACTCTCTCTCCCGATTTTCAAGAATGCATACATTTTGAACCGTCATATTTTCGCAAATTTTACGCTCTACAACTTTTGTTCCGAGGTCTTTTTCAAAAACTGAACAAGGACGTGACAATTCTTACTTTTTCCTACTTTGACATTTTGAGATGCGGAACTCATCACGGAAATTCATCTTTTCCTTCCCATTTCATAGGTGTTGTGGCAGTTTGGCTTGGAATGAGTACTGAAACAATATGTTTATAAGTGGTAAAATCGGGAGAGAGTGGTTTTTCCTATGAGTACGTTAAAAACCAGGTTTTTTTACCCAAAAATCGGCAATAATTAGAAAACTTTTGAGCAATCGAGCAGAGAGGATAAGACCAATTGAAAGCTTATTAAATTATTATTTAATTTTATTTCCTATCGGTTACTAAAGGCATCGCTCCGGGACG